GCGACCCCTCCTTGGGTTTCCGAGGCAGTATCACTACGGAAGTAGGATTGCCCAACCTTCCTTCTGAGGAGTGGCTGGTGGGTTTGAACCGCCTGCCTTCTGGTTAGCAGTCAAGTGCCTTAGCCACTATGCTACCAGAGCTCCATAGGCAACCAAATTCATTAGCACCAAGCCTTGCTCTAAGGCGGTGCTTGATACTTGGTAAGGATTATTCATTCACATTTTTGTCTGTTGGTCCCTTGATACTTGGCTTCAGAGGAACAACTTCTGGCCCTAAATTTCTGTCCCTGCATTTGCAACGGTGTATCTACAAAATGCCAGTCACCATGCTCATTTTAGTTCTGCCTAATGCTATCCAAGAACCAGGGCCATGAAACCCCATTTTTAGAGAGGACTGCCTATCCCTCATGCCTCAGGACCACGCCTGACAAATATAGCAGAAATTACAGGCATCTGATTTAAGGCTACGTGGGTACACTTCGGCAGAGCCAAGACCCAAACCCAAGTTCTGTTGCTGCATCAAAAGAACATCTCTCTTCCAGGATCTAGGCCCACAGTAAGCAGCAATTTGGGGGGCAACCCCTTTTTATTTTTAGCCTTAGAAACCCAAAAGCCAACATACCAGCGCTCAACCAAGCGTCTCTCACAAGCTGTTGTTTGATTTGGGTTGAGAAAATGACAGGCTGGGTTCTGCATCGAGAAGGGAAGAAAAAAGGAGTTTTATTTCCCCTCCACTGCTAACCCCCATCCCTCCCAACTCCTCCCCTAGCCCTGGGTGGACCCTGCCTGGATAGCCGTGCCCTGCTATATTTAAAAACCACAGATGTGTTTGGTGGAGACTTGATGTCGGATTGCAGGCGGCGACTCCTGAGGACAAGGAGAAAGCCGGTGCCGCGCCCCGCCTGCCGGCCCTCTCCGCCTGCCGCCCCCAGCCCCGAAGAACTCTGCGGAATCCAGGTCAGGACGCGCCGCCGTCTCGGCACTGCAGCCGGCCAGGAGGCGCCGGCCGCGGGGCTCCAGCGATTGGGTGGGTGGCGGCAGGCTGGGAGTTCCTTCAGAATTCGCTCGTGGGGGGCTCTCCGGACGCGAGAGCAGGCTCGGCTTCCCCGCGGCCGGCCGGGAAGCTATCTGAAAATCCCCCCTCGGCTCCGGAGGATAAATATGCGCGGCTTGTCATTCGGTGCAGCGCTCTCGCCCAGCTGATAGGGTGACGTGCGATTTGGAGGCTTGGAGATTGGCTTTTTGATTTGGCTTTCTGCTGCAGCTTAATGGGCAAAGCTCTAGGCTAGCCCAGAAACCAGCCCCTCTGCGCGTCCCCTTCGCGCGCGGCGAAGCCGAGACAGCTCCCGCGGTGACGGCGTGCGAGGCGGAAAGCCGGCACGCTCACAGACCCGGGAAAGCCCCGGCGCCTCGGCTGCAAGCCGGGGTCCCTCGGAACCGCCGGGGAGCTCCGGGCTCCTCGTCTGGCTCCCCCTCCCGGGAGGGAAACCCCGGCTGCCAGCGGCTGGGACTCGGGGCCTCTCCCTGCGCCGTCCGAGCCCGCGCTCTGGGGCGCGGTATCCTAGGGGTCGGTGGTGGGGCTTTCCTTGTTCCTTCAAGCGGCGCGGAGGAAGTCCTCCCCAGCCTCCCCCGCCCTGGCCCCCGTCCTCCTCCCGCCCGGACTTCGCGCTCCAGATGCGCTGCCCCGCATCTCCCTGACTGCTGCGAGCCGGCGAGCCCCAGTGGGCGGGCGGCGGCGGCGGCCTGACATGCCCCGGACGCGGCTCCGGCCGGCGGGCAGCCCGCGGGGGCGATGAGCCGCTGCGGCCGGTGAGGAGGCCCCGCGGCGGGGCATCGCGCACCTTCCTCACTCCCCTCACTTCCCACTTGGCTCGGGAGGCCGAGAGGAAACGGTGAGTAATGGGGTGAGTCTCCTGCCCTTCCCCCCTCAGCGAGCGGCAGAGGCGGCGGTGGCGGAGGGTGGGGGGCTTGGGATACCCCTCCAGGGTTCCTGTTTATGATTAATAATTTTATTTATTTCTCAAGATCATTCCTATGAACTGCCTTCCTGTAGGGGTTTAGTGCCAGAAAGGTGGGGGGAGGGTGCCCCGGAAAGTGTATGTTGTGTATGCGGTGCTGGTGTGTGTGTGGGGGGGTCTGGCAGTGTGAGTGTCTATGGGAGGGTGCGGGAGGGTGCTTGGGAATATGTGTGCAGTCGGGCTGTGGGCTTGCTGGCTTAGTGGCGGGTGCGCATTGGGAAGGCTGCATGCTGTGGTGCATGGATGCATGTGTGCATGTGTGTGCCGGCAGTGCCTTGTTCCTGGGCTGTGAGTGCCTGCTAGGTTTGGGGGCTTCTGAGGAGGGCGCAGGGGTCCTGGTGGCGCAGTGATTAAAGCGCCAACCGAGAGGTCGGCAGTTAGAATCCACCAGCCACTGGGCGGGAGAAATATGTGGCAGTCTGCTTCCGTCAAGATTTACAGCCTTGGCAACCCTATGAGGCAGTTCCACTCTGTCTTATAGGGTCTTTATGAGTCCGAATGGACTTGACGGCAGTAGGTTTGCTTTTGGAGGAGGGCGCGTTCCTCACTCGGCGCGCATCTGCATGCACGCACGTACGCGCGCAACCCAACCTCGGGATTCGGGCGCCGCAGGTCGAGAACTGCAGCCCTGGCGCAAGGGTCGCCTGCCTGCAAGGGGTGAGAGAGAAGGAGGGGTCTGTAGCCCGGCGCTCTCTAGACCGCGGTAGTCTGGGCGGTCCCAAACCGGGTGCAGAGAAGCCAAGTGTACAAGTCAGCTTCCCCCACCGCCAACACTACTGTCGCCAAGACCAAACACACACACACACACACACACACAGACCCTCCTTCAGAGGCTGGCGTTCCTCTTGCAGGCCTTGGCTGACTTGCCTCTAGGACCTCGAACCACGACGGAGACGAAGAAAGCAATTTGCTCCGGGGGGTGGGGGGGGAAGTAGTTTTTCGCCTTTATACATTGTGTTTTATTTTTAACCGGGGGAAGGGGGGTTAAATAGAACAAACGCCTTTAATGCAGTGCCATAAATTTATCTTTTCTCTATCCACCTCCCCCCACCCCCAGGCCCAACATAGGCGCGCGGGCGCGCGCGCACACACACACGCACGCACACACACACACTCACACACTCACTGTCTCTCCTGGTCATTTTTATTTTTAAAGAAACCCTGAAAGATTCATGGTTCAGTCTCCAGGGCAGAAACATTGGAATCGACGGGACGCAATTTATGGGAAACGCAGGCTGCAGCTGGGAGCCAGGCGCGGAGCTCCTGGGTGGTCAAGAAACACTCCGAACGTAGGGGGTTGTGGGTACGCGATGCAAACACATCTAGCCTTCTGGTGGGGAACTAAAAGGGAAGCCTCAGAGCCTCTGGCGACCCGGAGACTTGCATCCGCGTGTGATTAATCTTCCACAGCTGTTGCGCCCCATCCACTTGAGCTGAGCTCTTGTTTACCGCTGTTTTCAAATATAGCTGCTGCGCCATGCTCTTCCTGAAATAGAGGCATCAGTTCACTATGTATGCCAGCTTGCCCTCTGACTGGCGCTTCTTTTTGTCAGGCTCTCTCGATCCAAGTTTGTGAGGAAACTTCCCCTTCATGCCTTGCAGTTCTGCAAATGAGTATGCTTAACAGTCAGAGCTTGGGGTGGGTAAGCACTACCTCATCACACCTGGCCCCTCATTGTAGGTGAAAGTGTCCAAATCCACAGTTCCCATCAGCAGTAACCCACCCCCCACACACACATACACACATGCACAGAGACCCATTCCATAGGCCCTTTTTCTTTAAAATATAGCTGTTGGGTTGAGAAGAAATAGATGTAACCTACAGAGCTGAACTTGGCTGAAGTGGTTCTTCCTTTAACTTAATAAAGATGGAAGGTCATTGTTCATGCAGTTTTCTGTACTTGCAACACTTTATTGTTCTTCCTGCACCTCTAAACTTCAACCCTATCCCTTGCCTTCAGCTCTTAGCTCATTTGTTACCTCCTCAGGGAAGCTTCCTTACCTTCCTTGACTAGCCCAGATGTCCTTATTTTGTAGACCCATCACACGCACTTGTCATTTTGAAATAATTTAAAAATGCAAATTAAATTTATAGATGTGATTGGGTAATGCTTGCCATATCTCTCTCGACAGGACAGTAAGTGCTGTGAAGGCGGGAAGGATGACAGGTGCTTGTTCACATAGTACCCCTGGGCCTTAGCACTTTGCCTGGAGTAGGCACTCAGTAAATATTGAATGAATGAATGGACTTGAAGGGACAAGTTACATATCTTCCTCTCTCTGCTCCAGCTCCTCTGCCCTCTCCTCTGGCATCTCTTAACTTCTCTCTGTACCTGCTGGTCAGAGAAAGAGGACTAAGGTTATCAAACTAACCCTGTAAAAATATTCCCTTCCTCTGTGCTCTCCTTGGACTGGGGCCTGGAGCTGATTGCATGTCCTCTTGCCCCAGCCTGGCCTTGGCCCTGTGCAAGGCAGTTCCTTGTACGGTCTCTGGGCACAGTTGTTGGTATTGTCTCTGGGTAGTGATTGTGGGCATTGTTCCCTATCCTGCATGGTCCAGTCATTGTCCAGAATCTGGACAATAAATTTTAGGAATGTGTCAAACATCTTGGCTTCTCTTCAAGCTACCAAGTCTGGATAGGAGTTTGGGTAACTCTCCCTTTACTCAAACCTTGTTGCTTTGTCTGCAGGTTTAAATATTTGGTGAGGTTCAGAAATATGTTATATACTAAAAGAGAAAGCCAACCAAAAAAAAAAAAAAAACCAAACTCACTTCCATTGAGTTGATTCCAACTTACAGCAACTCCCATTGGGTTTCTAAGGCTGTAAATCCTCATGGAAACAGACTGCCTCATTTTTCTTCTGTGGAGTGGCTGGTGGATTTGAACTATCAATCTTTTGAATAGTTGCCAAATGCCTAAACCACTATACCATCAGAGCTCCTTAAAAGAGAAAACGGTCAGTCAGTTATAAAACTATTCACCAACGACATACTCTGCCAGGCATATACTAATACAAGGACAAATAAAATAGACATGATCACTTCCCTCATAAGCTCACATTCCAGTAGGGGTAACCAACTGTAAACAGGCAATTACCATATAAACTGATTCCTGCCAGTGGAGGATAAATCCCAAGTGCAATGGAATCATATAGGAAGAGCACTTCCTCATAGGGGTTAAGGAGGACTACCAGGGACAGCTAAACCCAGAAAGGAAGGATGGGTAGGTGGAATAGAATGGAGCAGGGAGAGGAAGAGGTGGGAGAGAAAGTGTTATGAGTGAAGGGAACAGTACACAAAGACCTAGAGTGGAAAAGAGTTCTTCTAAGTGGCTGATGGCAGAGGATAAAATGTAGGGAGAGATGAGTCTGGAGAAGCCATAGGATCCAAACTTTGGGACTTCTATGTTGTTGTTGTTGTTGTTATGTGACATCGAGTCAACCCTCCTTGGGTTGCCGAGGCAGTATCACTATGGAAGTAGATTGCCCAACCTTCCTTCCGAGGAGTGGCTGGTGGGTTTGAACCGCCAGCCTTCT